ATAATAATATAAAATACTTTTTAAAAAAGAAAATATTTTTAAAACACAACAAAAAAATTCATATTCTCTTAAAACCTTAACTTTTCACAAAAGTAATTGTTTGTTTTATTTAAAGAGAATTTAAATTTAAGTAAATATTAATATTCATCAAATAAATATTTACTGTTTTAAATATTTTTTGTCTATGTGACCTCAAGAAGATTATTCTAAAAAATAAAGAGAATATTCTAAATACAATATTCTTAAAGTTATAGAGAAATTTCGTCTACAGTACGAGTTTTGTTTTCGATAAAAATTTTTTCTAGTAAGATAGTATTCTGGAGGGTGTTCTACTTCAAGTAAACTATGAAATAATATAAATGTTATTCTGAATTTGAAAGGAAAAATTAGAATAATACTTAGTATAGATTTCCAATTATAGATTTCCAATAGTCTACTTCATTAGAAGAGGAATACTCTTGGTAAAAGTTTTCACTTAGAATATAGGATTAGGAAATGACATTTAGTAAGTAGAGTTTCTTACGTTAAAATATTTTCCTTTTAGTTTTAAAAGAATTCTTTTGACGCATATATAAGAGGATTTCATTAAGGATGAAATTATATTTGTTTGGAATTGTTTGTTTTCGACGTAAAATTTAATGGACTTTTGTATTTCACGCGCTCGCTTAATTAAAATAATTTAAAAATTATTCAGAACTTCCAAGAATTTTTCATTTACACATCATTCTTCCTTTTGCTACATTTAATTTAAGTTGCCTGGTAGCTAGTGCTTGTGTGTGACGTGAGCGTGGAATATATTTAAACAGAGGGATCGCTGTTATTTTGTTTTCACTTTTTGTGTAACGACGCAAACTATTTCGCGGGTAAAATTGGTGCATCCGCGCGCAAGAGAGAAAGATATCCTGCTAGTTCTGGAATCCACCCTGTCACGAACGCGGATTATGCCTTCGGGCTCGAGAGGGCTTACCGACACTGGTATCTCGTCCCAAATGGGTGAATTACTTTTGTATCCACCCATCGGTGAGAAAATATCGCCGAATCGACGAAAACCGTGAACCGCGGAACTACGGAATCCCATTCGTCTCGCTCGCACGCTCGCTTGCTTGCACTCTTTCTATCTCTCTTTTTCCTCCGCACTCGGCAGTAAATTTATGTTTCTGTTCCGCAAATGTGAACTACGAAAAAGCGAGTTATATGACAGCCGATTTAGGTCATCCAGTCTCAATGGGAATCGCATATTGAATATGGTGGCGAAATGTATTGCAAGTTCGTGCAGATTGTCATCCGTTTGACCGTGACTAATTCTTAATTCACTAGCGAGTTCAACAAATACAAATCGACGTGGCGTACGCATGTAATATTGTATTGCGCGGCAGTTTAGCAAACAGGCTAATATTTCGATTAAATTTTGAATTCCCTCGGCTCGTTCTTCCCACTTAAAAGATTTATCGAGATATTGGGAAAATTTCGTTTTTATGGAAATGAATTTAATAGCTATTTTATTGGATGACTTTATCGGTAAAAAAAACACGAAAAGTTAATAAAATTACGGGATAAAATTGCCATGATAGGAAAGAATGTTCATGAACCGGTCAAAAATAGGTGTAGTTCTATTTCGTTTTTGCTGCACGTTGTAATTACAAAATTTGGTGTACGTATATACAATAATACAATAGTACAATAATACATATTCTGTTTGACCACCAAAGTTGCGTAACATTAGTTGAACATTTAATTGAGCGGGAAACAAACCCTCCAGTCGAAGGACTATTTGAACTCGCAACTGGTCACAAATACGACCGTAATGCGCATTAATCTCAACTTTACCATAGTTTCTGATTTTGAAACACTTTCGCACACGGAGTGCCATCGAATCTACAGTTAGTGGCAACACCACGAAACATCAGAGATGGTTTTATTACCTTATGTATATCAATGCTGCTGTATAACACTGCACGCAATGTTACTCAAATCTCGATAACCACAACGAACCAATTCGATATTCGCAGTGATCGAAAGAAACTGGACGTGACGTCTGGGATATCTTATATATCGCGAAACGCGATCTTCCACTCGTATTCGGTCCGTATTGCTTTCCGATTCCGCACGGAATGCAATTATTCGTGGTATGATGAAATGGATGCCGTTTATTGGGTGAAAGAATTGAGCGATTTTTAGAATTTTCTACAAAAAGCACTATTTTTTATTAAAAAAAAAACAAGATCGACCTCCATATGACTCCATATGACTTTAGTGAATGACCGTAGTTAAAATTGAAGATTATTACTTAATATTTTAGCCTTTCGCGGTGTCCATGCATATTAGATTTTCTTTCCGGGTTTAAGCCGTGTGGATTTTTCTTTGTTTAATTCCGACGTTTCGCAAACATTTCAGTCCGCTTTATCAGAAGATTATCATATTTCTTCTCCTTCAAAACCCTATACATTCTGTCTAAAACATTTTTGTTTGCTGAGGTCAGTTTTTGAGATATTCGGCTGGCCTGTTTAAAATGGGATATCCTGCATACACACACGAGCAAATTTATTTGCATATTATGCAGAGACTACCGAAAGCACAATAAGTGCGGAGGCATGAAAAATATTCTCAGCACTTACATCGCTTTACATTCCCGTCTGCATTTATCATCGCGAGTCGTGCGTGAGGTCGTTCAAGTCGTGCATTTGCATGCCCGCCGAGTAAGGCGAAAGGCTCTGCCGCCGATTGCCGGACGATTGTTTATTACTACGTGACCGGAGCGCAAATAGGAAATCGCGTGGTCTGCAAGACGGTGCTTGTCGGAAGCGACGAGACGCCCGTTCGAGCAAGAAGCGCGGAAGTTTGATGATCGATGGAAATTGATAGCACGCACGAGTGGTGCAATCGCGGACGCGCCAGAGGTTTCGTAGTTTCATTTTGATCGGCGAAATTAATGCGATAAATGTTCCGACCGTCTGTGAGAGACGGCCGAAAAATTTAATTGTGTGTCGATATCAAATATCGCAGTATCATATTACGGTATTTTATTGGCTTGAAAAAACAAGTCAATCAAAGTCAAACGCGTTTGGCTTTTACCGAGAGACTAGTTGTTCTTATATCCAATTAAATAACTTAAAATGTTGTAACATTTTTGTCAGCTTGAATCCGTTAAGTAGCTATAAGCTTCGTGCCTCTGCGACATTATTTCGAGCAAAGTGGTTAGTTTCGCAGCCTCTGACAATACCCGCGTCTGGTTTCACATTCAAAACAGCACTAATTGAGGCTTTCCATCATCCCCTTCGCGCGATCTCGCTTAAGATATGCCAAAGGATCTCTCAGATCGAATGCACTTCATGCTCTGAGATATTTCCTGATTTAATCAAACGGAATAATAGTTACGACGACATCACCCACGCGAATAATCGCGATTCATCATCGGTGGGTGGAGGGAACAAATGGCGATAATCGAGACGATAAGCGCGGAAAGCGGTCGCCCGGTGAGATAAGTACTTTATAAAGCACTTAACCGTATTACAACGTCATTTTGGTGATCATAAAAAATCACCTTGATTTACGGTCTCGTTTGCGCCGCGGTTACGTGCCAACGAGGTGCCCGCTCGCAGCTAAAAGAAAGCTCGTCCGTAGCGACCAGGCAGCGTCGACGTTAACCCATTTAATCCACCA